ACCTTGATAATACGGCCATACAACAATACGAACACTTACTGACAAACTTCATTGACAATACAGGCACCTTGATAATATGGCCATACAACAATACGAACACTTACTAATAAAATCATTGACAAAACCAAAAAACAGCACTACAGGCAAGACTGGAATCCGCATAATTCAGTAAAATTAGGCACAATTTCATTAGTACACWWWTTCGTGGTACTAGAGTTTGCACTATACCATCCAAAATAGTAAATGCACCAAAAGCAAAAGAAACATTTTCATTGTTTCAAGGTATTTGACGTGGATTGAGCTATTTATTTCGATGCAGAACTTTCTTGGGTGTTCTTAGAGAAATAAATTTGTTGATCATTGGAAAGAAATTGTCGTTTTGAAGTCGACGATCGTCATAGCATAATTTTGCAGTGCACATGAAAAGAGACGAAATAGGTAATGAGAATGCTATGCAATCATCAGTCATGGAAATTAWGAACTAGTGCTTTCCGATTACATGAGGACCCAAGGTTAGTGCAATACGATGAGAGGCTATTTGGCACCAGTTTGTCAACTAGGCTGAAAGTGAAAAGAATTGACGAAATAAAAAAAAAACAGATGTTAACGAAATATGCAAACAACTCAATATCAGGGAGACCTATAAATTTCACAGAAACCCACAAACATCTTTACATTACAAATACAAAGAGCTCGTACACATCCACAATAGACACCTGAACATAAAGACTACGAGTCAACGAGACTATTTATAATACACTAATGGGTGTTAGCACAAAGTAGCTGAAGAACACTTTTCTCTAGAGGCGATTTYGTATGAGTGGGACACCGTTACCGCACGGTTACCGCACAGTTACCGCACCCGGCCTGCACAATTTTGGTGAAYCAATGGGGCACTAGAATTTGGTTACAGTACGATTACGGTCACAGTACAGTACCGTCCGTTTCCCGCTCATACGAAATCCGCTCTACGATGCCACTTGTGTATGCTTGTTGGATGGATTCAGTTGGCGGATCACTGCAGTTGTTTTACTATACCTCTCATTTTCATTTATAGGATTACGTGGAAATTTTGAAATGATACCAATTGCACATGGATCAGTATAGCCATGCATGGTAATGATAAAATGCTTTTGATTCAACTTTCATGATTGTGTTCATTATCCCAGGTTACTTTWAGAATCAATCATGGACAATATACATTTTGACACGATAAACAGTTACTCTACTTAACACATCTTTTTAGTTATCTACAGACGATGCCCCAATGTCATGGTACTGAAGCATAAAAAAAAACAAATGATGGTAGCCACCCAACATTGTGCAGGGGCCCGGGGGCACGATACTCTACTAAGTGCGGGAGTCGTGTTGTGAAATTGAAACTTTGCAACAGTAACACGCTGCAATGTCCTACGTAAAATGTCTAGGATTGTTCGTCCTCGACGATTTTCATATCGTATAAAGTATCATTTTTCTCTAAATATAGTATGAAATCTAAACAAGTAGTAAATAAAAGCATCAGAGTATCACAAAACAATACCAACTACTTTATAACATTAATTTTTAGGTTTGGTTATTTGAACAAAATCACAGCTTCAGAATACTTACAAATTATAAAAAAAAAATCAAATAGATACATTTTCTTTAACGCTGTAAAAAATCGCGCGCTTTAAAGGCTTGATACTCTGAAATTGACGTGTCTCGGTGCAATTTTTTTTTGAAGAAAATGTGGCGGAAAAAAAATTGGAACCAAAAAAAGTAAAGTGCTCGCACTTAAAGCGTGAAACAAATAATAATTACTAATAAATAGTGTTGATTATACAACAGGAAACAATGGAATTTTTATAATTTATCACCTATTTTGTATTATTTATATTTCACGCATTTAGTACGATCACTCTATTGTTGCAATGCTAACGCATGTCAAGCTGAAAATGGTATTATTTTGATCTTATTTCTACAACTGATCCAAAAACCGTGTATTTAGGTATAATATGATGAAAAAGAGAGTTTTGATCGAACTGAAAACAACTGCACTGCTCCACCTTAAGCGTTGGTGAAATAACTTACATTATCTTGAGAAAACGGCAATAATGAGCTAAACTCTGAACCATCTTCTCTTGGAGTTCCGGGTTGGTGATCATTCGGGGTATCCTATTGATAAGAGGACAAGCTTAGGGAGTGTTCATTATCTATGTACTAATCACATCCGTTTTTGCAATCTTCTTGAAAAACCTGRAGTTTTTTTATACTTWACAATCTTGACACCGTGAAATACGATACAAAGGAAGCAGAAACTTGAAAAATAGTCACAATCTGAAACCATATTTTGCATAGATAAACTTTGAAAAGTTGTACCTCAGAGACAAAATAATCACTGCCTCCATTATCAACCATATTACAGCAATATCCAGAAATTATGATCTTTTTGACATATTTCAAGTAACATAATATAAAATATATCAGAAATGATGGTATGTCATCGCCAATATTTTTTTAAAGAAATACTAGTGATAGGCAACTTCAAAAAATATTGGCAATGATATCCCATAATYTGTTATATATTTTACATATATACTTGGAATATGAGTCAAAATGATCAGAACTTGTCCATACTGCTGTATATATATCAACTATGGTGCTATTATGACCAGCACACACCTAACTAATGTGATAAAATCAACACTAAGACTAAGTGAATTTGGCTACTGGAGCTGCAGCTRTTATGATGCATGCATTATTATATGAATTATTGGCCTTTGCTTTCGTCTTAGCTTTGAAATTGTAAAATGTTTTGAAACTGACATTGTTTTCAAAGAGTTTATACAAGCCATACCTTTGACAAACCATCCATATCACCAGGATTAGAATCTGAATCACAAAGCAAAAAATAGTATGAATGACATTGTGGCAAGACTTGATAATTAGTGATATCATCAAATGATTCACTGAAAGAACACAATGCATAAATTCATGACTCACTGAATGGTTCAATAAATGAAAACAATGAAGAAAAAGAACCCAAAAGGTATGAATAAATGGATTAACCAAATGATAAGAATGAGTTAGAGTGAAGCAGACATTTGAAAAGTCRTTTAAAGAAAAGTATGAAAAACACTTACCATTCATGACTAACGATGGTTCTTGACCTCCTATAGACATYGGCGGTTCAGGTCCTCCACCCATACCATACTAGAACCGAACGCCAGCAAATCAATACCATGTAAAAAGTATATACTGGCAATAACAATGATACTTACTCCTGGCATATTACCACCCGGAACTGATTTCATCATAGCGTACATAGATTCATTTCCAGAGTTAGCTGTATCTAAACATAAATAAATAACATAATGCACATGACACAAAACTAATAAGTGGTAATAAGTGTACTGCATGAAAGGTTAACACTAATGAGTGGATCTCACCTTGAGGACTCGGCATAATAGGAGTACCCGGAGGACCTGAAACCTAGAAATAACAAATAATTATTGATAGATGATAATCATTAATAAGAACATCTACAAGTCAACTCACTACTCATCTACAATTATGCTTTATGATTCTAGAATCCTCTTCATGGACTTTCAATATACAAACTCTGGAAAGTCCACTATAGAGTAACATTTCCTGGACTTTATGCTATGGAGTATTCATAATTCTCAAACTTATCATTCGTGAGGTAGGCAGAATTTGAAAATGTTTTTCAATAATTGGAGAACAATGAATAATGCTTTTAAAATGTATGTCAAATTATGAAAACTTCCTTTGATTTTTTCCTCTGCCTAATAATTAATGACCTTTAGAATCCCTTCAAATTCCTCCAATTCAGACTCAACAGAATTTCAGGTAATTAGTTCCAGAGATGCAACCTTATTTTGCACACTTGAAATTCCTGATCAGTCATTGACAGACTTTAAACAATACTTCATAGTTTCCTTGAARTTCCTGGCAATTATCTCTCGTCTCMGCTTAACCTTAAACTGAAGCTAATTCTGTAAATTTGAAAAGCTGATAACCTTTCAAGAAGCACAACTTACCGAAGTGGTTGGATTCCATGGCCGACTTCCCCTAAAAAGACGACAAAAATAGGGAAATTATTAAAAACATTCAGTTTCAACTTGAATAGAAGATTTCAACTGATTGAATTATTTCTATTCTAGTATTTCAAAGTAACCAGACCAAATTTGTTTGTGAGCTTTGGAATATAATTGTCATTTAAGTTTGGAAAATGATGACATATTCTTCAATATTCCTTTGACTACTAAAAGAAAAATTGCCTTTTTTGCCTGAGCTTGCTTGCTGAAAGAATCCTTAGCTAACACTGATTTAAGACTCAGACGTTTGAGATGAAAATGCTTGAAAACAAGATGTGATAATACAAAATATGACCATATATCATGTGCAAATGGCTTAATGAACACAATTATTGTCCCACATTGACTAAGCATCAAAAAAAGCACTGATCACTGATGTCATTGCTTGTTGGATTGCTTAAAACCTTGCCTGGATTAAGGACGACAAACCCAACACCATTAAGGCTGCTTTACACTTGCAATTTTTGCAGTGTGATTGTCAAAGAACAATTGCTATGTTGCTCTCTTGCAGCTGAAATTGTATGAGTAAACAGCCCTGCAATCCTGTATGTCCATTACCAGAGTTTTGAACATGTTTGAAATTTAGATGTAGCTTTGYGCTGATTTTCACACGAAAAAGTACAAATTTGCTGAAAAAGACTTACTTTCAATAAGGCACTCTTTATCAATTTACAATGAAGTAGTGTAACAGTTGGGTAAAAATCACAGGTCTGTTTACATGTATGATTTGAGTTGTGCAATAGCAAAGTTGCAATAGCAAAGTGAACAATTGTGCTGCAAAAATTGCAAGTGTAAACAGTAGAGTAGTTTTTGTCATGTATCTATATAGTCACATGTCTTTATGATATTAAAAAAGCTTGTCTTTAGATTTTACCAGAAGCCCCTAGCTGAGTTTTATGTGGTATAAAGACTATGCATGTGCTCTATCTGGAATACGTACGATGAGTAATTAATTAGATTTTTAAGTATTATCAGTACAAGATTRTTTTCTTATGACGTCATCATACAAGTTTGCTTTATAACTTACATAGGCATGTTGACACCAGGTGCTACTCCTGTATTTGGAGGAGGTCTCATACCGCCATAGTTCTACACAAACATATAAGAAGGACCAAACACATTTTTTCAAGTACTTGCAATAAATGTAAGATGACAGAAGATGATGTGACATCTAATAATATTATACTTCATATTTATGATTATATAATGCAATATGACCACACAGTGAATCAACTCGATATTCGTAATGAAATGACTTTTTGCGTAATGAACTGACTGGTATTCCTTTTTTTGTGTCATGCCAATAATTGTTTTTATCATGAAAAACAACCTCCCAACAATGGTTTTGAGAACTTGCTCAGTGAATGATCATAATGTTGRAGCATTCACTTACCGGTTGTACAGGTACTCTTGGATGATTCATTCGTGACATTGGACCTTGCATTGGGTTTCCTGTGTAGATATACGAGGAAAAACAATATATAATAATATAYATCAATTGATTTATTTTCATTTGATATTTTACCTATTAAAGTGCATATGAACCATTTTAGAAAATCATTTTTAACAAAAGGCAAATATGATGCTAATCACTGTTTTGAAGAAGAAAAAGTGTTTTGAATTTTATTTTCTGAGTTAAAGGCATTTGAAAATTGAAAATGCTAATGATGTGACGTCAAGGGAGGATTCATTAAATACTTGACCCTGTATGTAGGGTTGACACATGCCCTTTTTAGTACATGATGTTGTGAAATCATGTAAAATGATTTAATCCTTCGAGCCTTGCCAAGATATGTGATTTTTACAATGGTGGCTCTTAAAATTTCAGATATATCCGCCTTCGTGATTCTTCATTTTAAGCTCAGATATTATAACTARGCACGAGTTGGTTACAACGTGATCAACACTTTATTAAATTTCTGTTATGATGGTAACACAATATTTTTGCATATCTACATAAAAAATCGACATATCCATGACTGTAGATGTCTGAATAGCCATAAAATTATTAAGCATTTTCTACCTGAAGARTTGCGTTGATATTCAGTCATTCATAAGCGAGTAGAGAAAATAAAATATCGGGTTCACAGCCGTTGCCGTTGCTTCACGGATAGTAGTAAGCGTGTTGATCTCTGTATTTGAGATCTCCTCATCATCATAATTCATCATACCCTTGATCCTAACACCCAGACGAGTAATGAGTGCCAGATTTTGGTCGTAAATCTTCATATTCCGTTGCATATTCGCTAGTAGAAAGAATGCTCATCAAAATGGCCGATGAAACARTGTGTAACACTAGTTATTGTGTGAGCGACAGGGATATAGTGTTCGGAATATACAACATAATGTAATTGGCTACCGGATATWTGTTTCAAAATGTGATTGGCTACGAAGATGTACCGAAGCCAAACTTTCGACAATGTGAAAAAACACAGACGACGACAAACCAAGAGAGTAGCAACATTTTACTACATGTCCCCTGCATAGCAGGGCACGTGTAATAAGAACTTTGAAGCAGTTACTTGAAAATGGTTAAATGGCATATAATTTATCATAGGCAATGTAGGGAATAATCATATTCCCAGTTGGCGTTCATGAAAACACTTTTGAGCGGCTCCTTCAAAGTTCCCATATTCGATGTAAGCCTCCCTTGATGTCACTTCATTAGCATTTTTTAATTTTCAAATGCCTTCAACTCAGAAAATAAAATTCAAAAAAATTTTCTTCTCTAAAACAATGATTAGCATCACATTTGCCTTTTGTTAAAAATGATTTTCTAAATTGGTTCATATGCACTTTAAGGTTTTTAAACCACTTCAAGGTTCAAGATACATAAAAATGCACCTCTGATGATTAATCAATGTACAATCATGTTACTGGTATGATTTATCTCATTACTTACAATCTGCCTACCACCTGCCTGTCTTCCTTTTGGATAAATTCTGTCTGCCTGTCTAAACATTATTTTAGTAGAAAACAAATATTTATAGATATACATCAAAAGAATGTTAAACACTACATCTGGCATTGTATGTAACAAACTCTCCTTAACTTAATTGCTAACAAAACTTTCGTTGCTCATTTATTCAGTTACAGGTATTTGATGAGTTGTTTTGTCATTGCAAAGTTAACATTTTTCAAAATTCACAGTTTTGTGTCACCTCTAGATGATTACCTTGATAAGGACTCTGTTGACGTGTTGGATCCATGGTATTAGGCAATAATGGTTGAGCTCCTGGAACTCCTGACACACCACCTGGGGGCTGAAGACTATCACCATTAATAGCAAATCCCTTCTCATTGGACCATACCAGCTGAAGGCCCTATAGATACAGTACACTTCACACACATATAGGGGAGGGGTCATCACAACTGCATTGAGTGTGCTTCAAATTCTGTTCTCAATGTAATTCTATTCATTTTGGCCAGCAATTGATTCTATGWGTTTATTCCATGGAATGTACATACCTGTCCAGGCATTCTTACATTTGGTGCTCTTCCTCCAGTATATCTTGACATATAAGGTGGCTAATGGAACAGAAATGTTTAATCCAATTTTAGCTTGTATACGTACGTGCACAATTATCAAATCTACTTCTACCAAAAAATTGTATTTGCATGGTTAAAAAACAATTCTCTTTCAATCACTGGAAAATAATATTCCATGTAGTGTTCTACCAAAGTTCCTTTGTTCTGTGGTTTTCCATTTTGGGCTTCTAGCCACCTGCCCTATAGTTTGATGCTTTTACTCCTGCCAACACTAGCTTGATAATGACTCCGACATAAATGAGTGTAAATCAACTTGAAAGGAGGAAGCTGAGAACAAATCCAAACTGCTCTCTTCACTTATAAGCGGAGAAAAGATGAATAAAATTATACAACTTCTTCTCTAGTTGAATTTTAGGTAAATGTTTTAAATAGATGCTTGATAAATTGTCAAATTCTACAGTTCAGCCATTATTTGCTTCTTAATATTGTTCATAAGCCGAGTTTGAAGTTGACAAAGCCTGGTATATTGCCTTAAGCAACATACACCTCCTTGCGAAAACGTTGTCATAAAAAAATAGGACATTTGTATTTTAGTAAAAAGGAATAAATTAAAAAGACAAAGGAAGATCACTGAAGCTGRACGCTTTCTTTTTTCTTGTTTTAATTTATTCCTTTTTACTAAATTTGAATGTTCTATTTTCTATGACAACGTTTCTGCAAGTAGGTGTATGTAGGATGTCCCTGTTTAAAGTTATGATTTAATTATGTTAAATAATATACAAGTGGGGACACTGAAAAAGAAAAACAAAATCTATACTTTGAAAGAACAATTTATCGAGTTTGTTAATTAATGCAAAAGCACAGTAAGACCATATATTGGAATTTCCATTCAGAATAAATAAATATCTACATGTTAAAACTATAGATTGAAACCATAACCAGTTTACAGTGAAGTAAGCGAAGAAGTGAAACATTGTCCATAACTTTAGGATTGCTAGTACAATCTTTGAATAAAACAAATTTGGTACTTTTCAGTTACATCAGTATGTRAATTTACTGTCCAGGTTTTCTGTGGTCCTTTGATTTTGTAGGTCTGGAGCAGTCTCATAAGTAGTTTTGATTGAAGGAGCAAAAACACCAAATGACAGTCAAAGTCTCATTGCTTCAGTTTGCAAATAATAGAAAACCACTTTTAATAAAAACATCATACGCTTTCATATTTAAGATGGATCAGTGTAGTTGTTTTTTTGACCTTACCTTTCATTTTCATGTAAATTAATTAATATTCCGAGGCAACATCAAAAACAATTTCAGCTGACAATCCAGAAATTGAAATTTGCCCATTAACTTGTGAGTAATACAAAAAAAATATGAACTATTCCACCAAAAACATAGCCTTCTTAAATTAGTGTAATTTCCAAAAAAAAATCTGTTTCACAAGTTGAAATCAAACAGATTGATTTTCTAAATAGTAATACTCCAGTCCTTATCAAATTCATGAATAATTCATAAGGTAAACAAAATGGAAAATCATTGCCTTGACCACATTTTATTTGAGCAAGAAATTTGTCCTGATTTGCATACAACTTAGATTTGGATTTTCTTTTCAAAAATAATATATAATCTTGAAGTTTTTAGCAAAGTATGCTTTAACTTATTTAACTTGGAATTTGCATAAGCAAYATAAAATATTCACGCCTGAAGTTTATGGGCTTTAAAACTGCTCACTTACAGCTCACAGTTTTAAATGCCCATAAAAGTCTCTCCCTCAAATTATATATAACAAAGTTAATGATTTCATTTAACCAACTGTTGAGGTGTCTTTTTAAAGAAATATTGACAGTTGCTATAATGCTGATAAAGCTGAAAATGTTTTATTATTATCAAACTTTTACCTTATTTCTATAACTGATTCAAACATCAAGAACATAGGGATAAGGTAAGGCTATTTAAATGAATGGTATGGTCAAATAAACAGCTGTAGTAATCCCCCTTAAAATGAGTAGGAGAAATCACAGGAACTTTGTACTTGCTGGGAAAAGACGAAAAAAGTCATCTCTTTGTATACTAKTTTGTCCAATTTGCATTATTTGTTTACCAATCACCAGCTTACCTGATTGGGCATATATCCTTGAGGTGTCTGTAACAAATAAAAATGATTTATGCACACCATTTTCACCAATACAATATAATGTACATTTTATATTAGATATATATGGTAATATTAGTACCATATTCACTCATGTACAAGCTGCACTCATAGATAACTTTCAACCCAACTTCGGAAAACAATTTTAAGGAAAAATATAGAAATGATCATTATAATCATACTATCATAATCAGGGCTCAAAATAACGGCCGGTCAACGGACAATGACCGGCCGAAATTCTCACTTGTCCGGTCAAATTTGGCCGGTCATCTTGATYGGTCAGGTCTATTACGTGAAATAAAAAACTATCAAAATAACTACTACAAAGGATTCAGGTCGACTGTTGATACACTGTATAACGAACGATTCTCAGGCGTCGATATTCTGCTATGAAGACTATCAGACAGATATAAGTTTCATAGGAAACGCTGTTTAATTAAGCGCAATTCGAAGAAAGGAAATAGAGGAAATAGCATCTTAGACRTGATTCTACTTGTTTATTGAACAATGATCATGTATCCCTACGAACCAGCTAAGMTAGCCGTCAAACATATTTTCGATAACCTTACGTTCTCATTTTTTAACGCATTTCACCAAGAAGAAAAAAACAATATCCTTAGTCTAACTTAATAAAGGTAATAAAGAAATTACTTCTTTTGCTTTTTTTGTGGCATTTTATTTTTATTTTTTTTCTTGCCTTTTATGAAGGATTTTCACACTTTTGAACATGCAGTGTGAACGTGCTAAACTTTTATTCAAATGAAACGCTTAAAAATCAGAAAGGTTTTTGTTCTTTTTTATCTTTTAATGCGATTTTAATGCCAATAAACTATGCTTTTTGTATAAATAATACATGTTTTAATTCAAGTTTTTATGCTTCTTTTTTTTTTTCATTTTCGTCCGGTCAAAACTGGAACATGTCTGGTTAAAATTTTATTTGAACGGTCATCATGTCTGGTCACTGACCGCCCGTTATTTTGAGCCCTGATAATTAATATAATTGTTTTGACTCTTGTTCAAAACAGAAACAATGGCAATTCTCTTACATATTTTGCGAAGTGTTCAATAGTATTTAGAAATTTCAGTATCTCAAGATTGCTATTGTTAAGTCAAAGTAGATGTTTAGCTACAATTAGACACTGTCTATCTAAGTGTAAATTAGTCATCCAGTCGTGATAATTAAGTAAAGTGATAAGTCAAATACTGGACCAAAGTTGAAATGATTCACGACGTTTCTATCGATTACACCGATCTTCCTCAGGTAGAATGACCAGTTGAATCACCTTGTTTAATCACCTCTGTTTAAGGTGGGCCTACGTTTCAACCTACCGCACTCATGGGATGTTGTTCTGAAAGGCGTTSCTCGCCRYYTGCCTCACAATAAAACCCTGGTTGGTGATTCAACTGRTCATTCTACCTGAGGAAGATCGGTRTAATCGAACGAAACGTTGTGAATCGTTTCAACTTTGGTCCAGTATTTGACTTATCATTTTATTTAATTAGACACTGTCTGTCAATCATGTTATGTGCAAACAGTGAGAATGTGCATGTAAGCAAAAATTTGCATTTTATCACAAGCAGTCACAAGGTTTTCCATTTGTTTCTAGAAAATAAATTAAAAATGTAATCACTGTTTAAGATTATAGCTTGTTTGTTTTTGAAAGTTAGGGGCAAATTGTAGAAAATTAAAAACTGTATTTATTGTCACATTTCCAAGGGTGATTACATTATATAACTTATAGAATTAAAGAAGAAAAGTCAATTTTCAGCTTATGCAAATACGCTACAGCTTTATTTGAACTTTTTACAAGTAATTTTTCATCCCTCCATTCATGACATATTTAATGGATATGGATTCCTTTATTTATTCACTCATGTAGCCAATGTATTTAGTAGCGTTATAGAATGTAATCAATCRAGTATTGAATATAAGCGTGCAGGTTGATAAGGTACGAGAGTTCCCTAGGGTGATTTCCCATGCAGAGTATATATAGTACACAAGTGTGAAGAATTAGTCATTCGACGGTATCTCGCATAGTATACCGAWACTCTGAGAGCAAATTTCAAGCTTTATATTTTCAAGTAAGAAGTTTATAATTGGGGTATAAAAACTTCTGCAGTTTATATTCTACCTGGCTGTACACCATGGCATGAATAGTAATGCCTTTCTAATTTGACCATATACACTGCTTTGTAAATGATATTATATTTCTGTATTGCTCTATGAGACATGCACGAATAAATGAGATGCCCACCACCTATATGTTGTCCTGTGGTTATTGTGAGAATGAAGTTTAGCTATTAAATATTTTATACTCGTTCAGAAGGATAAGAGTATAATTCAAAATAGACTGGCTCAAGTTRTCACTGGTGGTCATCATACTACAAAGTCAAAMGTTTTGTTTTTGGAAACCATGTATAGAAATAAGTCACAAACAAAAACCTGTTTTTGAAAACTGTAAATGATAATGCCCTAGAGTATTTGTACAGACTCCCTTAGTCTTACATTTTCAAATCATATCTACAATTAGCTTTTCATACACTGGAGTTAACTTAAATTTATAAAGATTTCCACTACATTCAATCATTGATTCTTTTGCTATTTTAAACTTATCTATCCATTCACTCACAAAATCTCAATAATAGCAACACAAGAAAATATCAACAATAGAAAAAGAAGGTTCTTACACACCATATTTTGTACCTGGTTGGGCATATATCCCCCTGGGGCTTGGTGAGGAGGAGGAGGTTGTTGATGGGGTGATGCTTGTGATGACTAAAAGAAAACAATATTATAATGTGTTCAGTGTTTAAGTCTCTTAGTGACAATGAGGAATACAGGGAACAAAAACAATCCAACATATGACTATTTCAGAAAAGAGATTGGAATGGGTTTGCAGTGGCTATTTAATAGATGTACACAGCAGAACTAAACAAGTCAGCATGGAAGATCTTCACTTGATGGCCAGAAAGTATTGACTGCCTTTTGTAGGTGAATATTGCTATCAATAACCAATACGCATAGTACGGTCATGCATTCGCCCTTCTCTCTTTGTTTCAGTGTATTGCTGTAGTTCATTGTTTATAATTTCACCACTAAACTTTTATTTACAAATTTCATGTATTTTGTTGGAAAACCATACAATTTACAGAGATCTACAAGAGATCTGTAGCATTCAAAGCCTTGTGATTAAATATGCATTGTACAAATGAGTGCACACACCATCTGCATTAAGGTCTGAGGAAAGTGTAAACCAGTGTCATTTTGAAGAGATTTTGAAAAAAATATATAATGAGTTGATGCCATTTCTGTATACATACTGAAAGTACATATAATGACGATTTGAAAAATACAGGTCAACATACTTCTTGTTTGTTTGTGAAGGCGTGAGCCGTATCCATAGCAATAGCTTAAAAACGCTTTAAACCCTTATAATTCCTTAAATATTTAATTTTTTAAGTAATTTCTTCAAGAATCATAAAAGATAATATAAAATGCAACTTTTTATGGTAGGATACCTGGAAATATGAAAAAATAATAATTTTATGGAAACTTTTGCGTAGCAGCTTCGTTACGACCAACAGAGAAAAATCTCGAGGTATCCTACAATAGATCTTTTTAAAAGCTTTTAGTCTATAAGCCCCCCAAATATCTCTCGAAAATAATGTAATCTGAAACAGTTTTAAAGTTTAACAAACGGTAGTTTGATAAAAACTTTGAATTTCTATGGAATATTGCATGATTTTTAATCCAAAGACGCAATATCCAGTCGCCATACTGTTTCTCATGTCACATTACGTCATATCGTGCGAGTTATTGCCGACTTTCCCTTGAAAACCMGCCGAAATCGATCGGAATTGGATTGGTCCTTGTTTCCCGCGAAAAGTAGTATATAAACATGATGTAATCCATTACAACACCCCACGGAGCATGTGGAGATTACTGTAACACGAGCTAGAAAATGCTGCTGTTCAAATTGACCACGAAAAACAGTCAACAAACTCATTTTTTGTCTCCAATAGACAGTTCTAGCTACGTAACATTAGAAGTGTATCCTGTATTTTAAAATGGGTAATTCTGAATGAGCAAACAATGACATTGTAACCGAAAACTCGCATGCTCCAGGTAGTAAACGCATGGTAGTTTGACCTCTGAAACGATCAAGCTGCGAAGACTTTATCTCGTGTTTCACAAACAAAGCACAAATTTTCCTGCGAATTTATGAAGTTCTTGGTCATTTTTCTCATAGAAATACAATGTTTTGAAGATTTATAACACACACAAGTTATTAGTTATACCAAAATAAACCCACTGAGCGCGAGAAGAGTCGAAATTATTTTTCAGGCATAAGCCTTTCCTCAGACCTTAAAACCATGTCTACATACTATTATGCAAACACAGTTTTCTGCCAATCAGAGCATATTTATTATATAAGTTATTTTAAAATAGATGTCCTACATGGAATTATTAATATAATAAGTTACAAAATGTTGCATGTTATGATTTGCATATTACATTGTTCATGTATGTGTGATATATTTTCCAAGAATGAAAAGCATTTATTAGAAGAAACTTGTAGGTAATACCAAAATTACAGGTAAACCAACAATAACATACATCACATATTAATGACATTTGTATAATATAACACCTAATATCCTTTAAATAATACTGAACACTTATTTTTTCAACATCAGGGTAAAATGGTTCAAAGACTATATAAGTCATTTTACTCACAATAACTATTCACCTACCGTGAAATATCCAGGCATTCCACCTTGCATTCCTGGACCTCCTGCACCAGCTTCATTTGACATCTGTGCGAATCCAGGTGAGGGGACTGCACCCTGCTGGATGTTGGGAATAACCTGATCAATGGAAAGAGCTCTAAATAAGCTGAACCTATTTACAATACATGGTCCACAAACCATAATGTACTATAACCAGCAAAAAGAGCTCTAAATAACCTATTTACACCATAACAAGTATATAATTTTTTCTTAAAAAAGTGATAAATTAAGCCTTGTTTTTATTTCATCTGCCACCATCATTCAAAAATGTGCTGAACTGAAATTACAAAGATAGCCAAAACTAAACTTGTTCAAATATACAGATTCTCACAATCTCTATAAATCTTACCAAACAGTATATGGAGACAGGCTATAAGACAGAAAAATCACAGCAATAAACCAAAGACAACAATCTTTGAAAAATTGTCATTAAAAAGACTTTTTTGAGCCTAACTCATCATGCTTGAAGTACTGATGGAATAGTCTACCCTGAAATCTATAAAATAATAGAAGAATAGCAAACAAAGAAATAATTATTTATGTCTATCAAAAAAACTACAGGATAACTATATCTGAACATTATGATATAGACTGTATTTTGATCACTTTGAAGCAGTGCTAATCCAGCACCTGTTACGACAGGTATATAGCAGGGTATTTGTCAAAGTACCGTTACTAATAAAAAATATGATGAAAAACAGCCTGAAATTCCATATATTAGACACAAGAGAACCTTAAAAATGAACTACGTTCACCTGCTTTAGTTTTGAACCGAACATTTGCATATATGAATAGTTTTGAATTTGAAAATATTTTCCTTAACCTTAACATTTCTTGATTGGATTACTATCATACCATTTTTAAGAAGGCATGGCAACTTTTTTACTAATACAAATGAAGACTAAAAAACAACCAGGTGAGAAACTTAAAAACTATAWATAGCACAGGTCAAACCACACTTATGTTTTGTGTGTGTTTGCAATGAGGCAAACCAAGGATAAAATAAAACAAGATAGAGGGAAATCCTCTCAAATAGTAGGATACTTGAGAAATTACTGTCTTGACTGAAGGAAAGAAAAATTTGTGTTTTACTCTAGTAAATTAGTATTCAAAGTAGTATGTTTACTTTGTCTATTTGTCCTTTTGTAGACAACTCATGATTAATTCATCAYATCACAGAAAAATACAGTAAAGTGAGCACAATTTTCCTTACACAAGAACAAAAAACTACCTACTGTACAGTTGTAAAGCATAAAAATAAAAAGAGTAGAAACAGATAGCCTACATAGCCAAGGTTCCTTTATGAAAATAAAGACAATAGGAAAGTTATTCATGAACAAAAATTATGTATTATTATTTGGGTTTCTTAGATTACAATTTGAAGTTTACAAAAAGTGTTCAATGGCAGATTAGATAGTGTGAGATAAAAAAGTAATAAGGGAAAATCTTGCTATAAAGCTTTGTTTTTATTTAGGTGTAAATCAAAAACTGTTCACTTTTATACATAAACATAAGGACAACACAGATCATAATGCACCATGAAAGATTATTTCATTCGATCAAAACACCACTTAACTAAAAGTTTCTGCTAAAATACTAGATAAGTTTTGAATGAATTCAACTACTGGAATACAGACAGAAAGAAAGCATCTTTATCATTGGTTAAAACATTATCTACCCAACATGCTTTGGGGAGAGTCTTTCCACCTGCCAGCAACCTTTTATTAGCATTTGATAGCAGTACACTCAGATTTAGTCAATGCAAATGTTTGACAGATCCTACTCAAAACAGCCCAAAATTTTAAGATTTTTTAGCTTAAAATCTCCATATTTTAACAACATTCCAATGAGGAAAGGAATAGTTCTGTGATGCAGCCATCGTTCTTTAGAGTCAACATTGTAGCAATGAAGTGACTTTTACAAGGCTTCCTCAATAACATAAGCCCATTTCCTGTGAGCTAGTTTGAGGTATTTTATGAAAGTCAGGAGCTTTCTATTATGGGCTGGTAATTTAACAAATAAAATGTTCGTTACAAATAATTTTTAGTCTTCCTACTGATTCCCCAAGACACAACAATGAAATTACCCGTAGTATCCGAAACACACAAGCCATGGTCACAAGAGCAGTGGATTACAATTCTTGACGATTAGTTTGTGAAAAACAGCAAGTTCTTTGAAATCGTAAATATTGAAAGTAATGTGTAAGTCAGACGGTGCTTGAGCGAGAGATCTATTTGAATTCGTCCTTTGCAAGACTAATTTATTCAAAAACCTCTCAAAATGGAAGACGCTTAGGACTGGATAAATTCACAAGTCAAGAAATTTTTCGCTTCAACTATTGAGGCATCCATGCGTTTGTATTATTACTTATGGGACTAGAAATCACTTGAGTTGTATTAAAGTAGCGTTATCGGTAGTCTAAACTAGTGCGCCTTGTAGTAACTGGTGGTTTCTAGTGCACAAAGAAGGTTAACCTAACACCCCACTGGCCAACAACTATACGGGCATTGGAAATAAACACAAAAATACTTGACCAAAACATAGTCGAGAGACCAACAGGATCAAATGACTAGCGCGCAATAAGGAAGAAAAGTTTTCAGTTGTGATCAGGACGAGGTTTAGGAAGGGAGAAGATAAATGCTGCGGTTCATTTTCGATCCGTCTTCTCTTAACGCTAGAACAATACACCTACTCTTAATGCTGTCATATACTGCGTCTTACTTTAACTAACTAAAACAAGGAGTTAGGGATTCTGGTTAATAGTAACTATACGACTGAAATACGAGTATGGGATTACCACGTAATAAACAGAAACAGCACATGATCAAACGTTCGATTCGTGCCCCTAATTTGAACGGAAACAGTTCGAATACATTGAAATCGAATTTTTTGTTATTTTTCTTCGCATCACTACAACTAGTTATATACGAAGGAAATTTTACTTTAACAAGACGAAAATTAATCTACAACAATTTCATTAATTTATGCAGATAAAGAAGCATTTTGGAAGGCGATTTTCAGGGAAAACGTGGAGAGAGGGAAACAATGAGGACACATCGTAGCGCTAGCGTGACAACTGTGTTAACAGCTAGCTCGGTGCAACTCTCGCTCCTCGCAACTGTACCCACAGTTGTACACTCGTAATAGTATCAATAAATAAACTTACATAATCATGGAAAGCTTTAGCTTCACTCGAATGGTCGCAACTATCTCTTCTCTCTGGTGCAGCGCAGTAAAGGTCCCAGAATACGCTACAGAGGCAAAAGGAAATACAACCTTAAGACCAGAATGTCTCACATTTAGGCGGGAAAATCTAAAAACTGCTGCTTTTTAACCCTATAAGAAAGGTTAATTCGTGATGTGGGAGCCCATTTCAATAACGTAGTCAAGTAAGCTATGCAAGAAAGAGCAGTAAAAGCTCAAATACCTACTCTTAGTTATTTACTATATACTAGAAATGGAACAAGAAAGCTACGCAAGGCCGAGAGGCCAGTTGTTGATAGTTGACTTACCACCACCAAGAATGTAAGAAACCTGGAGGTTCTCCTAGCGTTATATTCTTTTCCCATCTAATCTACAAGAGAATAATTCACAGTCCAGTTTAGCTACGTGAGCATCGCAACAAAACCAAACTCCAGTCGCTGTAGTCGAGTTGTAGCCATTGTAGGATTCGACCTTCAAAACGACAATTTAGGGACGATTTCAATGATTTTTACCTCATTCAAGAAAGTCTGTGCGCTTTTCTGTGCCCCAACGTGTAATAGGTATTCGTATACGTACAGTGCCAGCCTGTTTCGAAAACAAAATACCCATAGAATAAGCCAAAAGACGGACTACAAACTCATGGACACCATTTATGCTAACACAAAGACTGAGGCGGTCATTGAACAAGCGCGTCCAAAGCTCGGCCATTTTCCACAAATTTCATATGCAATCCCCCATTTTCGGACCCGTAGATTGTGATTTTGGGGTTGATTTTGGAGTTGACAAAAAGCCAAGCTTACTTTTCAGTTGCTTGGGCATCTGACGGCACCGTATTCGCTTTTCCTTTGGAGTACATACTGTGTGGACCCTGTCAACGATGTGTCACTTCAGTTCGTCATGGCCAGTGGCTCTCCGCTCAATGCTGGGCCCAGCAAGGTTGCTATGGTAATCATTAAGGAAACCATTTTGATTGGTTGGCTGTCAGCATCACGCTGCGATCTTGAAAACTAGGAACAGTATATGGTAGTAAGGACTGCTGGAAAATATTAGCAAACAAATACAAATACAAGCAGTCTACTATAAGGCGTAATAACTTAGTAAGCTTAATATGCTAAAATATTATACGAGCATAGCACCTAATACACATACGACACTCTTTTCCTCTAATAGAGCAGAACTGACCTTGTTTGTAGCTTTGCATGATAAAAATCAGTTAGAGAACAGGATTCTGATACATTCATTGAAAAAAAGATAATGGRGCTATATTTACAACATAGGGGACTACGCAATATTCATCAGGAGGGGGGTTGAGAATCCAGAGGGAAGACATTGAAMATCTAGTTTTATGTGCTTAAAGAGTGGAGGGACGTCTAAAATTAGCCGCAACTTTAATTGGAAACTGAAAAACCAACGGTATCAGAGTCTGTGGTTTTTGATCAAATACTTATTGAAGTGGAAAACTTCTCAAAAAAATCGTGCCACGATTTGCAACAACTAGTTATTAACGAATAATAAATAAATAAATTCACGGGGGGACAGTGCGTAATTTATTTTTGAATGAACACTATTATACTAATGCCCAATACTCAGTATATAAGTCAACTTCGATTGGCAGTTCTCTCACAAATCTCTTCATGGCAGTGATACTGCCGAAACACACGAGCAGGATGAGGTTTCAGTTCAATTAATGCATTGTATTGCTAAGCATAGCATAAGCACAGGCATGAGAATCATATGCTCCAGTGAGAACRGGTTCGACATAAGCACAAGACATTGAGCATGCGCACGAGCGTATTATTTCGGTACCAGACTATGCTTATGCCTATGCAGTCCCGTTCTCACTGAGCATAAGCATGAGATAAGCATGAGATAGGCACAAGAAGATCAAGCCTTGCTCGTTTTTCTTGTGCTCATGCTTATGCTTATTTTGAGCTCGTTCTCACTGGCGCATATGACTCTCGTGCTTCGTGCTTATGCCTATGCTTATGCGCTAGTGAAATCCACGCTCTATTCAGGTTATGTGAAAAAAGAGACGGCGAGGACATTTAGCCCGTGAAAGGTCAAAATCGAACTATGCAATCCTTTATAACGAAATGCTAAATCTCAAAGTTTGACGTTGAACTTTTTATGAGTGAACGATTTGCAGCCCTTCATATCAGAAAATGTGTCCGGAAACTAGTTTACTTCTCATTTCGTTAATCCTCCGCAGCTATGAAAGTAGTTTTGTGTKTATTTCATTTTCATTTTTTGTTGTTGTTATTGTTCTTGCTGTTTTAGAGGAAATATATATCGTGCTGGATATAATAACTATTTTCCCATTCACAAAGTCTGTTCTCCAAAGTCCTTTTCGCAAGTCGACACCAGTCCTAAATTTTTCGATGTGACAGTGACCGTCTCGCAACGTAGTAGCCGTTTAGGATGTACATTTTAAGGTAAAAATTCATCCCTACAAAAATTACACATGTAATAGATAAATTCATAGAGAAATGCAGTTGTTTTTGACGATAGTTTTTTGATACGATGGAATCTCCACTTCACGTAACTTTGCCCTTGGGTCCTGCGCTTCATCCAAAAACACACAAGCGACTATGATTTTGAATAATAATTAGCAAGGGAAAATCCACACCACTGTCAATCCGAATAAAGGATGTTATACTTAGAGAGTTTTAAGTGTTAAATGTTTGCCTGCAATGATTATTTTGGTATTTTTTTCCTYTTATTTTATTAAATGAACCAATGTGTTAAAATGTGCTAATCGAGTGTGTGCCATCCCTAGGTAAAACTAGTCTTGACCATCACAATATTTTGGATTTTGATGAACAATCTTTGGAACGCAAAATAATGTTTTTCTCAAGCAACACAACTTCAAAAAGTAGTCTCTTTTTCTCAACTTCAAAAAGCCGCGTGCACGTCAAAAAATATTCAAAAGTGATATTTGTATAATTCTGTTATTTTGTGCTCAGACATTGGAATTAAACATTAATAATATGGAATTATTCTTAAAATCAGAATGTTACGTAAAGATTCTTTGTGTGTAGGCAGATGGTCCTTGATATGTTGCCCTGTCAATTGGCATCAAATTTGAAGAAAGGATGCTCCTCCTAATAATGACGTCACTTCCTCCGGTCGCAAGGTCAATGTCTTATATTTTTTTGATGATCTCAGATCGCATACAAAAATCGTTTAGTTACAATATTTTGTGAGAAATTATTGATACATAGAAACCTTGACTTATCGACAAAATGATCTATTTGTAGTCTCTTTTTAAAAGTTTCTTTTATTAGTCTCCTTTCCTGGTTGTTTATTTCAAAAAGTCAAAAGTCAAACTGAAATGTCTTGTYATTATTAGTATAATAACAAAAAAGAAAAGAAARAAAGAAAGAAAAAGAAAAGTGATGCTTGAATGAATGGTTATGGTTATATCAGTTAGCATGTTAATTTTTTACTGCACCTAAAATGCCGAAATGTAACGTAGACAAAACTDGTTTCTTAATCTTCCATTAAATCGTCACTTTTATTTTATTTTTCCTTTCTTTTTATCTTTTCTTTTCTCTTTTCCCTTTTCGTGTTTTTAGTCGATTTGAGTAAAAAAGCAACCGTTGCGCGCGTCCCGGTCGTCTATGTGAAGGATATATTACCCATACTGCTCCGCGCATCGTTTAAGAGCTCTGACCACGTGGGGCCCTTTCTCTTTTCGTTCCGCCATCTTGAAACATGGACAAACCAGCGAAACTCGCCAAGGTAATGTCAGTTTTTCCAGCTTCTTTTGGTTGTTAATATCTTTTGTCTAATCTCAAGCTGACCAGAATATATACGTGCCACTAGCAGTTGTGTAATTTTTGATTTACTCCTGGTATTTATTAGAGTAATAGCTTCTTGACCAAAAGACTTAATCTAAACTTAGCTTATGTTTCTGAGCTGTCCTCCTTCTTCTTTAGGTTACAAAAATCCTAGGAAGAACGGGCTCCCAGGGACAGTGTACTCAAGTAAGTCTTAATTCTATCAGCTATGTGTTGTTTGTGGAACCATTATTGAGTAAGTTATTTGCTAGCTCAGAATGGTCGTCATGCATTCTGCTATCCTAAATGCCCAGTGGCCGGTTTTCATTATCCATCGAAAGCTGGCAAAGCAACTCCCTGCTTCTTTATTCCCCTCTGTGTTAAAGTGCTTAACCCTAAAATGGCACAAATTTGGATCGATTTTCGGGAGTCTACGGGTTACAATCAAGACTTAGTGTTTAAGACGATCAACAAAGCGAAGCAAAAGAATGCAGGCAAAGATGCATGGGCCAACTTCATGGCTACTGATCACTTTTTAGAAACAGATTTTGAGTGCCGATACGTGATTTGAATCAACCGYATTCGTTATTTATAATTATAAGCAAGTTTACCAGTTTCCACAAGTATCGTCTTTATTCAAACACCTTTGCAATTTTGTTGTACATGTAGCTCCTCTTCAAGCTCTTTCTTTTTCTATATTTGGCAAGTCATTTCATAGGCTACCCAACTATTGCTTGAGAGAAAGAAAAGAATGAATGCGCACGCTTATATTATCTTATCGCATTGGCGCAAGATGCGGGTTTCCTGTGGTATTACGTCATTGATCCCTTGCCTCGCGGGTATGTTATCGATTTTCTTTCAAATAACAACACATCGTCAGGTTTCCTACCYATCTCATGATTTTCAGTGTGAAATGTACATTACGTGACGAGAAAATGAACATTAAGCATTTCACTCGCCGTGGACCGATGTGTGCCCCAGGTACAGTGTCTATCCCTCCCTATCGTTTTTTTTTTCGTATAGACTTCGAGAGCTTTCGGAAAACATTCGTGAGTTCCTCAAGGTGAAAATAAAAGTCAAGGATAAATTAATTTTCTTAAAAAAAGGAAAACAAAACACGCTGGAAAAATGTAATATAAACAAAAACAAATTAAAAAGTTATAAAATATGGAAACCTTTCGAGGTCTTCAAGGTTCAGAAAAAGAAACATTAGTAATTAAACATGACAAATATGAGCTTAGTTATAATAAAATGAAAAATCTAATCCAGTGAACAGTTCATATTGATAATACTGAAAAGCTTTATTATAGTTTCAAAGTACAAATATACATGATTTTGAACAGTGTTGATCTCAGTCACCTTGGCTTCAGTAAACAAACAAAGTTGTACATGCAATCTTGATGGTTGTTGAGTGCATACAATTCATGTTACCAGATTTTTAACAAAGCGTTTTCAAGTTTTCAAGCATTTTAAATTATTAGACGACATTATTCATTATCAAAATAGACGAATTCTTCCTCATAAATAGCTAAACCAAGCGGTAAAATGTAAGCTTACTGTTCACTCGAGTTTTCCGGCTTTCTCCGTGGGTTTACACTAACAAAAAAAAAATCTGGCTAAAACTATCATTACATGTAAAGAAATATCTCTTTTCCAGCTACTCACTCCATCAGCTTGATTCCTGCTCATAAACATAGTTAATCTATGTCATAAACAAACAACTCTAAGACCTGTAAAAATCCACGACGTCTATCTGCTTTGGTTTTCAAGGTGACTCAAGTGTCTTGAAAAACTTTTTTTCTCTTAAAGTAATTGCTCCTTACAATGCACAGTCCCATCTTTTGCACGAAGCTTCAAGTTTCAAAACATTGATATGTAGGTTTCCAACAAAAACTACAAAGAAACCCGAGCAAAATCAATGAAAGATCAACCAAGTTTATGGCAGTGAATACATGTATATATGTGGCAGCGACGAAAGGGAGCGACATTATCGGTCGACCATCGGAAAAATGTCGAGCGATACGACTGTTTACGAAAGCTCTCGAAGTCCATACGAAAAAAAACGATAGGGAGGGATAGACACTGTACCTGGGGCGCACATCGGTCCATCACGTGACCAGTGTTTCATACCT